GGAAGTGGGAGCGTATCACTATGTAATTTGTGGTAGGCTTGACACAAAGTTTGATGCTATTTGGGTCATTGTTGATGGATTGACCAAGTCCGCGCACTTCATACAAGTGTTGACTACTTATATTTTGGAGTGACAATCCAATAGGTTGTTTTGAGTACTAGCCTTAATTTTAATGTTCCTAGGCCTCCCATAGCTTCATTTAATATTTATCGATTTGCGTGCGTGGTCAGTGTCGCTCTTTAGAAAACTTTTATATGAAATTTTGAAGAAAATGAGATTTTTGACTTAAAATGAGGCTAGAGTTGACCACGGCCAATATTTTTGGTAAACGACCTCGGATCATATGATATTTTTGGATGTGTACGTATGTTTGGTTGGGGTTCGGGGTGACTCGAACGCGTTTCGACGCATTATGTGAAAAATTATGAAAGTTGAGTTTAAGTTGAAATTTAGAGTTTTGGTGATTGATTCTTATTATTTGATGTTATTTTGATGATTTGAAGTAGCGAGAAATTTAGTAGGATGTTGTTATAATTGTGTGCATATTCGATTTGGATCCCTAGGGGCTCGAGTGAGTTTTAGATGATTTATTGATAGGTTTGCAACTGCTGGTGCTCAACAGTTGCTGGTGCAAGTCTGCAGATCTCGCGTTTGCGAGCTAGCTTTTGCGATCATTGGATCGTATTTTTGATAAAAGGTCTAGGCTGGGTGTCTTCGCATTTGCGAGGGCATGTTCGCTTTTACGGATGTTGGACATTCGCATTTGCAATCCTTGAATATTTAGGATAGCTTCGCATATGCGAAGCATTTAACCAGATTTGCGATGGATGGGTAGATCGCATTTTCGAGATTTTTGTCGCATTTGCGATCAGTGTGTCGCATTTGCGGCCATCGCATTTGTGAACAAGTGTTTGCAAATACGTCATCTGCAGCTGGGTAAAAGATTGGGAAATCGGGGCTTAGCTCATTTCACACTATTTTTCAACCCTAAGCTCTCTAGAGGCAGTTTTTGAAGAACCTTTTCTCCCCAAATTCATTGGTAAGCATCTCTAATTACTTTTTAATCAATTTCAATTACTTTTCATGAATATTTAACATCAAATCTATAAATATCATGGTAGAAATTAGGAGTTTTGGGTAAAATTTAGGGATTGTGGGAAATTGAGATTACGACCTCAAATTGAGGTTGGATTTTGAAACAAATTACATATCCAGGCTCGAGGATGAATGGGTAATCGGATTTTGGTCCGAATCTCGAATTTCGACCAAGCGGGCCTGGATTGACTTTTGTTGACTTTTTAAAAATGATCAAAATTGAACCCTTTTCATTTGTGGGTAGTTTCTAAAGCTTATTTTAAATTGTTTGATGTAATTGACTACATTCGGTTGGTTTGGAGGCTTGTTCGAAAGGCAAAACCGTGATTGATTGTTGATTTGGTTGCAGAGTGAGGTAAGTATCGTGATTAACTTTGACTTGATAGAAGTAGAACTTGTTGGTCTATTTTCTACATGAATTATGTGTGGGGACGATATATATGCAAGGTGGCGAGTATATATGCGTTGTCATGGGTTAAAGCATGCAGGTGAAAATTGTCTTATTGTACCATATTATTTTATTTACTATGTATTCCAGGTCTTAGTTAGATTGTTACTCTTTAATTGTCTGATTCCATGCTTATTGCTTATTTTGAAGTTGTAGTGATATTGAAAGTTGAAATTGCTTATTTTAGCACCACGGTTGAAGTTAAAATTTGCTTCCCACCTTACTTGATACTTTGGGTTATTATTGTTGCTTGGTGAGGATGAGAGTTAAAGCATGAAGGGTGATGTCGTGCACTTGATTTCTTTATTTATATAATATGGTGAGGATAAGAGTAAAAGTACGAAGGGTGATGTTGTGCACTTAATTTCTTTATTTATATTATATGGTGAGGATGAGAGTAAAAGCACGAAGGGTGATGCCATGCAATTGCATTTGTATATTATATGGTGAGGATAAGAGTAAAAGTACGAAGGGTGATGTTGTGCACTTAATTTCTTTATTTATATTATATGGTGAGGATGAGAGTAAAAGCACGAAGGGTGATGCCATGCAATTGCATTTGTATATTATATGGTGAGGATAAGAGTAAAAGCACGAAGGGTGATGCCATGTAATTGTATTTATATATTATATGGGGAGGATGAGAGTGAAAGCACGAAGGGTGATGCCATGTAATTGTATTTATATATTATATGGGGAGGATGAGAGTGAAAGCACGAAGGGTGATGTCGTGCATATGCATTTATATATTATATGGGGAGGATGAGAGTAAAAGCACGAAGCGTGATGCCGTGCACATGCTTTATTTATATTATATGGTGAGGATGAGAGTTAAAGCACGAAGGATGATGTCGTGCACTTGATTACTTTATTTATATTATATGGGGAGGATGAGAGTAAAAGCACGAAGGGTGATGCAGTGCAATTGCATTTATATATTATATGGGGAGGATGAGAGTAAAAGCACGAAGGGTGATGCCGTGCAATTTGATGATTTCATTGCTTTT